ATATATATGCATATATATATACATACATACATGTACATACATATACACATGCACAAATATAATTTTACACCCTCATCAGCATAAAAAAGTGATTTGACCTTTGGAAATTTTACAAGAAAGAAACAAGTTTCTGTAAATAGAAAATATAACAGACACATAAACCAGTCAGAACAAATATATGTAGATAAATAAAACCTCATTTCCAGCACAGTAATAGTTTTTATCCTCCAGGTGTTTTTCTCATGTTGTTCACCAGGTGCTTGAATGACCAGTACTGTAAATGGTTTTGATTGGTTGACACATTGTAAACACTAGAGGGCAGTGTTGCATTCACATAATAACAGAGCAGTTTGTCAGTGCTGCAGCTAAACACAGACATAACTGTTGTTTTTCTGCTGGCAACCAAAAAATATATATGACATAGTGTCAAACTGCATTATACCAACTAATTTACCAGTATAATACTAATCACACTGTGTTTTAATTCATGAAAAAAAGTGTTTTTGAACTTTCTTCAAACTTGTTTTTATGAATTTAAAAACATCTTGTACTCTTTAACCTCTTAATCCATGAGGGGTTTTCTTAAAGTTTTTACTCAAAATCCCATGCTGAAATGTAACGTGAGTGTATCTCAGCATTTATTAACTCTACTTAAATAATCTGGGTAATAAAATAAAGCAACACTTGGGAGGTTTCATCAGAAGTGTAAGTATTAAAACAGCTCCTGTTGTTTTATTGATATTAGGAATGGAACATAATTTTTTTTAATTTTCTTTCCCTCTCACCTGAATAATGTTTTGATTAGACAGTATATAACCAATTTAAAACCATAATGAATCAGACTAAAAACTCTTAGAAACCATAAACCCACCTGTGAACATCACCTGTACAAAGATTCATGCTGCTGAAATGAACTGGAGCAAAGTTCCAGAGGTTTTAGTAAAGAAATAATTTAGTGTTTGTCGTTCTGCACAGGACAGACCATGATGGTTCCATTAATAAATGTTAACAAATCTGAAGTTTTAACTTCCAAAACTTATTTATTTTTTCTTACCTGCCTGAAAAGACTTGTAATTGAATGTTTGTTCTTTTGAAAAATTATCCAAACATTTATGTGTCACCATATTTATTATATAATGAGAAATTATATTTGACTTCAGTTGGATCATTTTCACTCAAAATCAAGTAAAAAAAAGTTTCAACACATTTTATAACCTATTTAGGTATCTGCTTTGACTTGCTTTAAAAAAGTAATGTCAAACGTTTTTCCTTTGCACATTTGCTTGGATGTATTTACAGATTTGCAATGATGCCATTTTTACAGTTTACTTTCTGATTCAACAGCTTGACGTTTGAACTGTTTGATGGATGTAAAATAGTTTCCATGAGATTTTAGCCAAGATTCTTGGCTTTCTATTGGTACAAAACATGTTCAGGTTCAACTGACAGATCTTAAAAGAAGTTAAAGGAAATTGAAAACGGAAAAAACAGTTTTGCACCTGGTACCCGGGGCGTTTTTTACTCTGTATGTAGTGGTTTTTACCTGAAAACCCATTAACATATAAACGTTAGTGAGTTGTGAGTCAGCACTTCTAGTGACAAAATAATTAGGAAGAATTAAAGTAAACTTGACACAAGCCAGTTGATTAGTGGGGAAAAGCACAACCTTGTTAAACATCTGCTTCTATATTTGAAACCAGAAGTTTGCTCCTTGCCTTTATAACTTTAGTACATTTTCAGTAGGATTGAGATCAGGGCTTTGTGATGGTGACTCCAAAATAATGACTTTGTTGTCACTTTGTAACCAGTTTGGCCCATTTGTCTCCCAGCTTTAACTTCCTGGCTGAAGTCTTGAGATGTTGCTTCAGTATAATGTTCTTTCCTCATGATGTCATCTGGTTTATGAAGTGCATCAGTCCCTGCTGCAGCAAAACAACCCACAACATAATGCTGCCACCCCGTGTTTCACAGTCAGGACGGTGTTCTCTGGCTTGAACAAATGTAATGATGGTCATTATGGTCAAACAGTTCAGTTTTATTTCATCAGACCACAGGACATGTCTCCTTAAATTAAGGTAATTGTGTCTGTAAACATTTGGAAACATTAATCTGTCTTTTCCATGTCTCTTTTAAAGTAATGTTATAAGTAATTTCACCTTTCATTATTTGTGATTTTATCTCCTGTCCAGCGCTTTGTTTGAAGGCACTTTACAAATGAAGTTATTATTATTATTATTATTATTATTATTATTATTATTATATCTCTTGCTTTTTATGTTTTTATCTTTTCTGTGATTTTATCTCCTG